CGGGAACTCCGAGAATCACCTAATGACTCTGTTCACCTAGCAGTAAGTAGGTACTCAGTAGTTAGTCAGCTTCTTGTGGGGCTTCATCTTGGGAAGGGTCAGTAGTTCGACCCCGGGGGGATGGGGAGGACCTCGATATAAACCTATATAATAAATATACTCTGGCTGTCTGTCCCCCGACACAATGGATTATTAACTTAAACTAACTATACAAGGCAATGAACGAATGAGCTCGATATTATACATTGTGGAGACTATACTCTATGAATTAGTTTAATTAGAGACGTTAGTCTTGACCAAAAATCTGTACCTCTTACTCTAAAATTACAATACCTCTTCATCAACTATTTCGACTAAAGTTCCAAGTAGGATTAAGTTCACTGGTACAGATGGAAACACCAGGTTTCTCTCTATAGGTCAGTGACAAAACTACAAATCTCAATATTCTCAATTTTGGCTGCAACAAATATTTAGCCTTATACCTGCAAAGGGTTAAGACAGCACAGGATCGGAGCAAATGGAAAGACTTGCTGTGGTTGCCAAAAACTAGAGGAGTTATGTATAATAAATGGCATTTCCGGAGAAGGATTATACTATTTTTTGACAAAAACTGTTTAATTGTTCCAGTTGCAAACAATAAGGCACATGTTTACTCTCACTCAGAATACACACAACTGATACTGCTGATATACGTACGTGTAAACAGACTTTTCATTAACGATGGAAAATTAAAATGCACAATAACCAAAAAAGACATGAGATAATACATACACAAGTAACTGGCAGATGTCCCTTTTGATTGGTAATAAAATGATAGGCAAACATTATTGCAAGGCAAACAGATAATAACGGAGAGATGATAACTGTAGGATGAAGTCGGATGTGTTCGTTAACATAGTCCACCACTTTTGCAACGTTGGAATCTTCTAGAAATTTATGAATGAATGAATGTCAGTCTTAGCATCAGTTGTTATCCCAACACAAGCTATTGATCCTAGCATTATTTTAGTATACTAGGAATACTATCAGAAGTGTATGTCCTAGCGGCACTCAGTTGGAGGAGGAAGCGTGTAGCTCTGCAATGAGAGAAGAAAATATATATTAATATTTTGGTTGTGGTAAACTACGACCATATAAATAATAAAGTTGAGTCTATTGAACCAGTTTCACCTCTTTCACCTATTACTTCTCACCTTTCACAGCAACGTCTACCATTTTTTACAAACTCCTCACTGCATCAGAGTTTTCAGCGATTGGGTGATTGTTGGTTGCCCTGACGGGTGGTTGTTTGCCACTGCAGGGTGACTGTTTTTCAGTCTCAGTATGGGGACTTACGTGCCGCCACTAAGGAGGAAGGACTCGGCTGGCCTGACATTTACCTGTCGGGTGGATATTGACGTCATCAGCAACACTCTGTTTGCGGTTATGGGTATGAAAGTGGAAGATCTCGTCGGTCTACAGGTTGTTCGTGACGACAGAGTAGTTGTGAACTTCGCCGAGAGTGGCTTGTTCCGGAGGTTTCTCGACCAGTATGAGGACAAGGTGGTGGGGCTGAGCAACGGTCTTGGCTCTGTGACTGTGACGAATTTGAGTGTGGAGTACACATACGTGTCTATTAAGAATGCGCCATTTGAAATGTCTGAGGATCTTCTCCGTCAGGCTCTTGCCAGGTATGGGCGTGTAGACTCTATTTGTGCTTGTAGATACACAATCGGGGACGTCAAAGGGCTCGGTAATGGTTACAAAACGGGTAAGATGGTTCTTCATGGGAATGTGCCTTCTTCTCTCGCGCTTGCTGGCTTTACGGTCTGCTTCTCCTACCGTGGGCAGACTCGGACGTGTTTTAAATGTGGCCACGTTGGACATTTGGCTGCTGCCTGCGACACTCAGATGTATGATCGGGTAAATGTGTTTCATGAAGTGGATTTTCCTCCCTTGCCCAAGCGTGAGGATGTATCAGTTGTGGATGGTACCCCTTGTGAGAGGACAGTTACGGTGATTGGTGCCGCTCCAGTTAGTGCGGTTAGTGGTGTGGGTGTCGGGGTGGTGGGGGGTGCGGACCCGCCCCCGCTGTCGGCTTCCTCGCCTTCGCCGGCTCCTTCGCCTCCGCCGGCCCTGTCTCTGGCTCCTGTGTTGCCTGAAGGGTGTGGGCCTGTACCCCCTGTGGGTGAGGCTGATGTTTTTTACGGATCGTGTGTTGCCTAGTGACTTGTGGCCAGCCGTGGGCTCTACTGGGATGCCTCTTGCTGCGGGCTACAGTTTGGATGATCAGCGGCCTCTGTCCAAGCGTTCCCGGAGGACTAGGAGTGTGTCGCCCCTTCGTGGGTGGGCTGCAGAGTGTGAAGTTGCGGAGGATGATGTGATGGAGGGGCCTGTGCGGCCTCCTGTGGCGCCTACGACGCCTGCTGCTAGTGCCTCCCCTCCTTGGGAGGTTGCCCCTAGTGGTCGTAACCTTGTGGTGGTCCTCACGAAACCTGTGCGCCGGGAGCCCTCTGATCCTATGCCCGGTGGTAGAGGCCCTGGCAAATGTGCATTCCCTGTGGTCCCCTGTGGTCCCCTCTGGAATAAAGAACCGTGTGACTATCAATACGGACCTCTGTGGCTACCCTTGTCCGTCCCCTGGTGCTCGAACCCCTCGTGCTGCACCCCCTCCCTGTGGTATCGGCCAATGGAGTCCCGCTCGATGCGTCGCAGACTTTGGAACTTACTGTGGATAGCTGGGTGTATCCGGCGCCGTGGTGCCCCTATACTATTTGGGTACCGAGGGTGCAGTGTTTTGTTTATGGGGTGCCGGAGCTGATGCCTCAGCCTTGTGCATCGCCTCGTAGACCAGTGTCTGATGATGTCAAGCTCGTTTGGGAGGCATACTGTTTGCGGTTTCCGAAGAAGGAGTTTCCCGATAAATATGCGTAGTTTTGTGCTTGCATTACGTGCTCCCGGAACGTTTATAACTTATTGTATTGTCTGCTATGTGGTTGTTTTGTTTGCCTAGTTTAGACCTTTGTGTACATTGTTTTTGTGCTTTGTTCATACTGTAATGTGTTTTCCTTGTGTGTTAGATTTATCTTCTGTGTTGTGTTTCTCATGGTGTTCTGTGTTTCACCTAGTTGTTTTCACCTAGTTGTGTTTGCGGGGGATGAGCTTTGCTCTTTCGGCCCGCCTCTCAACTGTTTACTAACTACTTTTTTTTCCACACCACACACACACACACACCCCAGGAAGCAGCCCGTGACAGCTGACTAACTCCCAGGTACCTATTTACTGCTAGGTAATAGGGGCATTCAGGGTGAAAGAAACTTTGCCCATTTGTTTCTACCTCGTGCGGGAATCGAACCCACGCCACAGAATTACGAGTCCTGCGTGCTATCCACCAGGCTACAAGGCCCCTTCCTGTGTGTTCCGGTCGAATGATCGCGTGTTTCTGTACTGTGTGTGCCGGGTGTTCCATGGGTTGTGTGTGTGTGTATTGTACTTTTTTTAACTTTGTACCTTTGCTTCTAAATGTTTAATTTTTCGCCATTGTGTGGTTTTTAATGTATGTAACTTGGCGCGCCTCCTCTGGGTTGTGCAGTTTAAATTTGTGTTTTCTAATGAATTTTGCTTTGTTCCATGGATTCTCATTTACGTTTTGCACTATGAAAATTGTCCACTGTGTTTTTATTGTGTTCACGGATGTTCAGCTTTGGTGTGTCATCTGTATTGTATTTGTTTTGTGTTGCTTGCATGTCATTTGGTGTTATGTTGCTGGTTGGTGTGTGCTGGTGTAAGGTTTTTCTTTTGGTGCTTCGGTGCCTTAATGTTGTAATGTTTTCCTTGTCAAGTATTTGTTTTATAAATAAAAAATAGAAAAAATGTCAAGATAACATGCATTAGTATCCAAGAGCATCACCAAATGGCAGCTAAAGTCAGCTTAGTGTTTGTTTCACTTGCGAGTCCGGCTGACTCACATAGCTGGCCCCAAGACGCTCTTTTGTAATGACCATCATTGTTGTCTAACATAGGAGGAGTTAACGTTACTTGGGACATATATTGTCTTTATCTTATGGGGTGGGGGGCAGATAGCTTCCTTAGGTTTATTTGTCATTACTTTTCACGATTGTGGTTCAGTTAAGAAGAAAGAAGTAGGAAGGATGTAGTTCGCCCTGAATGTATTTCAGATTTATCTTCCCTGACATCAGCTCGTTTCCTGTTTCTGCAGCAGAGCTATCGTCTTATAGTGTGGGCTTCAGTTGCCCCGGTGTCTGAATAATACTTGGTTCCTCAACCCAGACTTGTTGAGGGGAGATTCTAAAGGTCCTTGTGCACACAAATAATTATCAAAGTAGCCGCCAAGCCAGAAGTCAATGTAGCACCGTCTGTGTTGCAAGATTTTCAAACGGAGCATTATATCACTCAAGATGCCAATACGAGAACAAAAGGGGCCTAAGGTGAATGATATCAAAGGTATGGAATTCACCAATGATTGTAATCAGAGACAACGACTCCTAGAGAGATTAGGAAAGGAAGACACACGAACAGCCAGAAAATCAGGGCAATCGACAAGGAGGTTTAAGGCTGGACATGGACAACGCAGTTTGGACAAGAGAGAGCAGGACGTTGTTCCATTAAGTGAACACAAGTCAGGTAGGTGTGCCTTGTGTGCATATTTTGTTTTGTTTTCAGTATATTCGTGCTTCGTCGTGCCCTGTTTAACGATGTATCTTGCTCGTTTATACGATTCCACTTGAGTGGAAGATATGGATTCGTGAGATTGATATCAGTGGCACCGTCTACTTTTTCCTCGTTTGTACTTTCTTCAGTTGGCCCACGCTCCCCTTGTGTCCGGTGCGCCTGGACGTTTATTAATGAATCACCCATATAGTTCCCATTGGGATTGGGTGGCTGGTTAACCAAACATTTTTCACTATCATCACTAACGTGATGCATCAAATGAACAAATCCACAAGGGCCGTGACGAGGATTCGAACCTGCGTCCGGGAGCATCAGAGTGTGATGATGTAAGGGCGAAGAGGGAGAACAGCCTATTGACATAGCTCGGGTGCAGGGGGGGGGGGCATTGTGCAAAAGCCTGGTTTGTGCCTCGGAGAGGCTATGGAATCCAGTAAGTTCAGTAGAACTTCGGTTTCAACCCTTTTACCCTGTCGTAGCTCAGTCGATTAAGGCAGTGTCTGGGATGCTCCCGGACGCAGGTTCGAATCCTCGTCACGGCCCTTGTGGATTTGCAAGCACTATTAACTCGGTTAATGCTGCTTGCAGCTTTCAGGGAAGCAAAATTTGTTGTTGCTATTTGTTTATGTTGGCTGAGCCGCCCTCCAGGATGACAGCATCAGACACTTATTGTACTCCATCCAGACACCTCAAGGTTTTGGCTTTTGCAAGTCTTCAATTGTGGCCAACACTGTGGGAGGCGAGCCTCCTCTTTTTTAAGAATCCTGAAGTTTTGGTATGCTGACTTGAGTTAAATTCTTTGTTTTACTGTCTGGGGCTGGGAGATCGGCTGGCATCTTTATTTGCCTCTGCCACCGCCTTTGATAAGGGTTATTAAACAACCTTGGCCTCAGACTTCTGCTGTTTCTGACATATTAGCGGTGGATCCTTGTGGGGTAAGTGACGGTATTGTAGAAGCCTAGTCCCTTCTTCTGAGTTCGTCCATTGTGTTTGTAAAACGATGGGAGTTCGTTTCCCATCGAATCAAACTTTCCTATCATCAAACCCCACCAAGATGGTTTCCCATCAACCCCCCTCCCCCCAACTTTTGATGGAGGGGGGGGTCAAGGTTTTTATAAAAGACATTTCTACCCATCCTCCCTCCGTTATGTGTGGAGGACGGGGGATTAGGGTTTTAATAGAGGGCATCTACTCTTCCTCGTTCCCTTTGTGGGGGTGAAACACCATAAATTGTTTTATTTACGATATTCACTGAAACAATTAGAGTAGTTCAGGAATTGTGTGGCGACGGTCTGTCGGTCCTTGAGAATAACAGTCACACTTTTTGATGCGCTAATGTTTACATGTTGGGTATAGGTCAGGTTGTGTCAGGTGACCTTGTCCTCTACTATACTTATACCTGCAGACAGTGTTGTAATCTTTCCCTCATACAAGCTGCTGTCTAGGTGTGATAGTAAGATATTTAGAGCTGTGTGCTGTACACTTTCGAGCTGTGGGTTGAAGACGCTATTACAGTGTTGGCTTCTCGTTATCTGTTGCATATTGCTAGTCCCTCGCCTTGTCTGTGGAGCTGGGATACCTTTATCAGCTGTTCGTCCCCCCAAGCTCTGTGGTCCCGGCTTCTCACCCCTCACTGGCCAGCCTTTCATCTTTGTGCTTCTTTATAACTCTCTCTTGCAGTTCAAAGTTGGTTTTCGTCACTAAGTCTGCCCGAAACGCTTTGCGTAATAGTGGCTTTAGGCATTGTATGTACTAGCTCTATCTATAAATCCATCAACTTTTGTATCTCACCCTGTATGTATGTACTTTACCTGAATAAATATTTGTATTTGTAAGGCGTTGTTGGGTATTTGCTCCGGAAAGCTACCGAAGACCAGCCCAGAAATCAAACATTTAAAGTCATGAAATTCGCTTGTTTGGGCGGCCTCGTTTGCTCCCTGTTCCTGTAGTTGTTCCCTGTGTTGTTCGGGGCTGCTTTAAGGCGGCTCGTAGTATGTTGGCATTCAGCAACCTACTTCTTCCCTTCTTTCCTGTTCTCTCTCATAATGACACCCAATTTGTCTTTGTTCACAAGTACTTCTTGGGCAGTATTTACCGATTATGAGGTTACTCTAGGATCCCTATCGCCACTATGAGCTCACCAGATTATTTTCCTGTGTCTGGGTGGGTGGGAACAAGTCTAGAGGTGTGACGGGTCAGTAGTGCCGGGACCTGGCAAGCTATTTAGGCCGCCCAAAAAGGGCCATTTCGTTACATTCAACCCATAATTATACATAAGCTCTAAGAGATCTGTAAGTACAATTTCGGTCTAGCTATGATGTAGGAGTGCTTTGAAAGAATACATGAATAGTTCAAAAGCTACAGAGCAAAATCAATTTGTACTGAAACTGGAAACTATTCCAGTAATAAAAATGTGATGCAATACATTTTAAATAAGACAAATTTAATTATTACAAAAAATTATATTCTATCGGAAAGTCAATTCATTTAATTTCATTTTTTTATATTTAAGTTATAAATATTTAGCAGAATAAAAAATAGCATTTTGCTGTTGAGGAAAGATGAGGAAGGAAAGACAACCCGGAACGATGGACTGACCTTTGAGATCTGGAACTCTGGCTGATAGTAGTCATAGAGACGCACTGTGCCGGGCTTGACCTCCTCCACCTCTATGTCTCTTATTACACGGAAGTTTGCACAAGTGTCTTTAGCAGTTAATTCTTCAATATAGAAAGCTATCTTGCTGCCATCTACATCATATCGCTTTATATTTTTATCCTTTTTAAGAAGTTCCTTCAGATCATCTTTCTCTGGGATGTAACCGGAAATGAGAGTGACCTCAATGACGGCCATATTGGACTTGCCGTCCGGGAGGCGGTAGGAGGCGCACACAGTGATGCGCTTAGTGACGCACTTCTCATCCGGCACGGTGTTTGTGTTGACGGTCATGTCGAAGGCGTCACTCGCCTCAGCCTCAGGAATGTTGTACCGCAGAACAGCCTGAAACAAATTGTTAATGCAATAATTATCAGAATGCACTAAGCCTGCATGTCAATTGTTACAATATCGCAGCTCATTACTTGGCTTGCCTTTGGCCTCGTACTCGCCAACTTCCACCATGAGAAGCTGGCAGTCAATCACCTTTATACCTTTGGCCTCATACTCGCCAACTTCCACCATAGCTGGCAGTCAATAACCTTTATTTGGCCTCATACTCGCCAACTTCCACCATGAGAAGCTGGCAGTCAATACCACCTTTATGAACCTTTGGCCTCATACTCGCCAACTTCCACCATGAGAAGCTGGCAGTCAATACCACCTTTATGAACCTTTGGCCTCATACACGCCAACTTCCACCATGAGAAGCTGGCAGTCAATACCACCTTTATGAACCTTTGGCCTCATACACACCAACTTCCACCATGAGAAGCTGGCAGTCAATACCACCTTTATGAACCTTTGGCCTCATACACACCAACTTCCACCATGAGAAGCTGGCAGTCAATACCACCTTTATGAACCTTTGGCCTCATACACACCAACTTCCACCATGAGAAGCTGGCAGTCAATACCACCTTTATGAACCTTTGGCCTCATACACACCAACTTCCACCATGAGAAGCTGACAGTCAATACCACCTTTATGAACATGAGAACAAGAATTAAGGACGTTGCAGAAGGACTATTGCCTCACTCGTGGCAGCTCCTGTTTATATTCACCCAACCTCTTCTATCTATGTCTATCCTACGCTTGAAACCATCAAGGGATCCCACGTCTAATATGTAACCTGGTACTTTGTTCCACAAATCAACAACTCTGTTTTCAAACTAGTATTTACCCAGGTCTTTTATAAATTTAAACCCATTCAATTTATATCCATTATTTCGTGTTCTATTTTGCGTTGATATATTTAATAGCTTATTACAATCCTCCTTGTTACGCCCATTCAATTCTGTCACTCTTAACTCTTCACTTTTCTACCGAATGTAAACTAAGTTTTTCATCCTTTCTGAATATGGAATGTTTTTAGTTTGTGGGATAAACTTAGTTATCCTTCGCTGAACTCGTTCAAGTGAATTAATGTTAATCCTAAAGTATGATGACCAAAACTGTACTGCATAAATCATACATTTATATACAAATTGTTTGGCTTTAAATTTCTACTAATCATGACCCCCCCCCCAGATATTCTTTGTAATAAACTGCTAAAAATAAACAAAACAAGAGTGAAAGTAATTTAGCGAAACATGGTCTGTTCTTAGTGAAACTACATTGTGTTTCATTTATTAATTTATGTTTTTAAAGACACACAAATGAATTTTGTGATTATAATTTCAAGCAATGTACCTACAATGAATATTAAGCTTGCTTCTATCGCTGTGAGCACACAGCCACAGACATACGCACACGCAACCAAAGACATATGCACACCCATATGACAGCAGCGTACTCTACACTGGCAAAAGTTAGAACATCATTCAGAAACCTAAGCGAGAAGGCTTTTAGGGCACTTTTCACTGCCTACGTTATCTTGAGGTTATCTTGAGATGATTTCAGGGCTTAGTGTCCCTGCGGCCTGGTCCTCGACCAGGCTTCTACCCCCAGGAAGCAGCCCGTAGCAGCTGTCTAACACCCAGGTACCTATTCACTGCTAGGCAACAGGGGGCATCAGGGTGAAAGAAACTTTTTGCCCATTTGTCGCTGCCTCCACCGGGGATCGAACCCGGAACCTCAGGACTACGAATCCGAAGCGAAGTCCACCCAGCTGTCAGGCGCCCCATTGGTACGTGAGACCAATCTTAGAGTATGCTATGCCATCATGGAGTCCCCACCTGAAGAAACACGTAAGGAAACTGGAAGTTTGCGACGAGGCTCGTTCCAGCGTTAAGAGGAATGGGATATGAAGAGCGCCTGAAGGAACTGAGCCTTATGACACTAGAAAAAAGAAGGGAGAAGGGGGATACGATAGGAACGTAGAAAATACTTAGGGGAATTGACAAAGTGGAAATAGATGAAATGTTCCCACGTAATAGTTACAGAACGAGGGGACATGGGTGGAAGCTGGAAAATCAGATGAGTCACAGAGATGTTAGGAAGTATACTTTTAGCATGAGAGTAGTGGGAAAATGGAATGTTCTTAAGGAGCAGGTTGTGGAAGCAAACTGTATTCATAATTTTAACACTAGGTATGATAGGGAAATGGGACAGAAGTCATTGCTGTAAACAACCGATGGCTAGAAAGGCGGGATCCAAGAGTCAATACGCGATCCTGCAGGCACAAATAGGTGAGCACAAATAGGTGAGTACAAGTAGGTGAGTATAAATAGGTGAGTACACACATGCACATACACACGCACACACAGCCAAAGACATACGCATACCCAATCACAGACATATACACACGCAGCCACATACACTTCAAACCAGGTAAATGTAAGGTAATGAAACTAGGGGGAGGAAATAGGAGACCAGACACATGATACAGAATGGGAGATGAAGTCCTTCATGAAACGGACAGAAAGATCTAGGAGTTGATATCACACTAAACCTGTCTCCTGAAGCCCACATCAAAAGAATAACATCGGCAGCGTATGCGAGGCTGGCTAACATCAGAACTGCCTTCAGAAACTTGTGTAAGGACTCTTTCAGAACCTTGTATACTACATATGTAAGACCATTCCTGAAGTATGCGGCCCCAGCATGTAGCATGTACCTTGGATGAAACTGGAAAAAGTTCAGAGGTATGTCACTAGACTAATCCGAGAACTAAGAGGCATGAGTTACGAGGAAAGGCTGAGGGAACTGCACCTCACGTCGCTGGAAGACAGAAGAGCTCGGGGAGACATGATCACCACATACAAGATTCTAAGGGGAATTGACCGGGTAGACAGAGATAGATTATTTAACATGGGATGGTGCACGCACAAGGGGACACAGGTGGAAGCTGAGTACCCAAATGAGCCACAGAGACATTAGAAAGAACTTTTTCAGTGTCAGAGTAGTTAGTAAATAAAATGCATTAGGCAATGATGTGGTGGAGGCTGACTCCATACAGTTTCAAATGTAGATATGATAGAGCCCAGTAGGCTCAGGAATTTGTACACCAGTTGACTGACAGTTGAGAGGCGGGACCGAAGAGCCAAAGCTCAACCCCCGTAAGCACAACTAGGTGAGTACAACTATCGCGGGGGCCTGATAGCTGAGTAGACAGCGTTCTGGACTCGTTATTCTAGGGTCCGGGTTCGATCCCCAGTGATGGCAGAAACAAATGGCAAAGTTTCTTTCACCCTGATTCCCCTGTTACCTAGCAGTAAATAGGTACCTGGGAGTTAGACAGCTGGTACGGGCTGCTTCCTGTGTGTGTGTGTGTGTGTGTGTGTGTGTGTGTACTCACCTAGTTGTACTCACCTAGTTGTGCTTGCGGGGGTTGAGCTCTGGCTCTTTGGTCCCGCCTCTCAACCGTCAATCAACAGATGTACAGGTTCCTGAGCCTATTGGATTCTATCATATCTACACTTGAAACTGTGTATGGAGTCAGCCTCCACCACATCGCTTCCTAATGCATTCCATTTGTCAACCACTCTGACACTAAAAAAGTTCTTTCTAATATCTCTGTGGCTCATTTGGGCACTCAGTTTCCACCTGTGTCCCCTAGTGCGTGTGCCCCTTGTGTTAAACAGCCTGTCTTTATCAACCCTGTCGATTCCCTTGAGAATCTTGAATATGGTGATCATGTCCCCCATAACTCTTCTGTCTTCCAACGAAGTGAGGTTTAATTCCCGTAGTCTCTCTCCTCGTAGCTCATACCTCTCAGCTCGGGTACTAGTCTGGTGGCAAACCTTTGAACCTTTTCCTGTTTAGTCTTATGCTTGACTAGATATGGACTCCATGCTGGAGCCGCATACTCCAGGATTGGTCAGACATATGTGGTATATAATGTTCTGAAAGATTCTTTACACAAGTTTCTAAAGGCCGTTCTTAAGTTAGCCATCCTGGCATATGCTGCTGATGTTATCCTCTTGATATGAGCTTCAGGGGACAGGTCTGGCGTGATATCAACCCCCAGGTCTTTCTCTCTCTCTCTGACTCTTGAAGTATTTCATCTCCCAAATGGTACCTTGTATCTGGTCTCCTGCATCCTACCCCTATCTTCATTACATTACATTTGCTTGGGTTAAACTTTAACAACCATTTGTTCGACCATTCCTGCAGCTTGTCCAGGTCTTCTTGAAGCCTCAAGCTGTCCTCCTCTTTCTTAATCCTTCTCATAATTTTGGTGTCGTCAGTAAAAATTGAGAGGAATGAGTCTATACCATCTGGGAGATCATTTACCTTTATCAGAAACAGGATAGGTCCAAGTACAGAGCCCTGTAGGACTCCACTGGTGACTTCGCGCCAGTCTGAGGTCTCACCCCCTCACTGTAACTCTCTGCTTCCTATTGCTTAGGTACTCCCTTATCCACTGGAGCGCCCTACCAGTTAATGTGTGTAGTGTGTGTGTGTGTGTGTGTGTGTGTGTGTGTGTGTGTGTGTGTGTGTGTGTGTGTGTGTGTGTGTGTGTGTGTGTACTCACCTAATTGTACTCACCTAATTGTGCTTGCGGGGGTTGAGCTCTGGCTCTTTAGACCCGCCTCTCAACCGTCAATCAACAGGTGTACAGGTTCCTTAGCCTATTGGACTCTATCATATCTACACTTGAAACTGTGTATGGAGTCAACCTCCACCACATCACTTCTTAATGCATTCCATTTGTCACCCACTCTGACATTCAGTTTTCACATGTGTCCCCTTGTTCGTGTACCACCTGTGTTAAACAGTTTATCCTTAGCTACCCTGTCAATTTCCATGAGGATTTTGTAGGTAGTGATCATGTCTCCCCTTACTCTTCTGTGTGTGTGTGTGTGTGTGTGTGTGTGTGTGTGTGTGTGTGTGTGTGTGTGTGTGTGTGTGTGTGTGTGTGTGTTTACTAGTTGTGTTTACTAGTTGTGTTTTTGCGGGGGTTGAGCTTTGCTCTTTCGGCCCGCCTCTCAACTGTCAATCAACTGTTTACTAACTACTTTTTTTTTTCCCACACCACACACACACACCCCAGGAAGCAGCCCGTGACAGCTGACTAACTCCCAGGTACCTATTTACTGCTAGGTAACAGGGGCACTTAGGGTGAAAGAAACTTTGCCCATTTGTTTCTGCCTCGTGCGGGAATCGAACCCGCGCCACAGAATTACGAGTCCTGCGCGCTATCCACCAGGCTACGAGGCCCCTGTGTGTGTGTGTGTGTGTGTGTGTGTGTGTGTGTGTGTGTGTGTGTGTGTGTGTGTGTGTGTGTGTGTGTGTGTGTGTGTGTGTGTGTGTGTGTGTGTGTGTGTGTGTGTGTGTGTGTGTGTGTGTGTGTGTGTGTGTGTGTGTGTGTGTGTGTGTGTGTGAAAATATTAGTAGTTTGTAACAGTTGATTGATTGACAGCTGAGAGGTGGGCCGAAAGAGCAGAGCTCATCCCCCGCAAACACAACTAGGTGAATACACACACGCAGCCACAGACATACGCACACAGAGCGACAGACACACGCACAGACATACACTCACACAGCGACAGATTTACGCACACACAGCGACAGACACATGCACACACATATGCACACACATACGCACACACAGCCACAGACACACGTACACAGACACACTATCACTGACAAGCATCCCCTGCAAAATACTTGAAAGAATAATTAGGCTAAGACTTGTTGAGCACCTGGAGAGCATTGGGTTTGTAAACAAGCACCAACATGGGTTCTGGACAGGTAAATCATGCCTAACAAACCTTTTAGAATTCTATGACAAAGTAACAAGGATAAGGCAGTACAGAGAAGGCTGTGCAGACTGCATATTTCTTGACTGCCAAAAGGCCTTTGATACAGTACCGCAGGAGTACACAAACTTGAGAGGCAGGCAGGAGTAAGCGGAAAGGCCCTAGTATGGGTGAAGAACTACCTAACAGGAAGGAGCCAAAGGGTAATGGTAAGGGGCGAAAAGTCGGACTGGCGAACAGTAACGAGTGGAGTACCTCAAGGATCGGTGCTGGGCCCAATCCTCTTTCTAATTTACGTAAATGATATGTTTACAGGAGTGGAATCCTACATGTCTATGTTTGCGGATGACGCAAAATTAATGAGAAGAGTTGTGACAGATGAGGATTGTAGGATCCTCCAAGAGGACTTAAACAGGTTGCAGAGATGGTCAGGGAAATGGCTACTGGAGTTCAACACTAGTAAATGTAAACTTATGGAAATGGGATCAGGTGATAGGCGACCAAAGGGACAGTACACAATGAAGGAGAACTGCCTACCTGTAACGAATCGAGAAAGAGACCTGGGAGTGGATGTGACACCTAATCTAACTCCTGAGGTACATATAAATAGGATAACGACAGCAGCGTACTCTACACTGGCGAAAATTAGAACTTCATTCAGAAACCTAAGTGAGGAGGCTTTTAGGGCGCTTTACACTGCCTACGTGAGACCAGTCTTAGAGTATGCCGCACCATCATGGAGCCCCCACCTGAAGAAACACATAAAGAAACTAGAGAAGGTTCAGAGGTTTGCGACGAGGTTTGTCCCAGAGTTACGAGGGATGGGATATGAGGAGCGTCTGAGGGAACTGAACCTTACGACACAAGAGAAAAGAAGGGAAAGAGGTGATATGATAGGAACATATAAAATACTTAGGGGAATTGACAAAGTGGAAATAGATGAAATGTTCACACGTAATAATAACAGAACAAGGGGGCATGGGTGGAAACTGGAAACTCAGATGAGTCACAGAGATGTTAGGAAGTTTTCTTTTAGCGTGAGAGTAGTGGAAAAATGGAATGCACTTGGGGAACAGGTTGTGCAAGCAAACTCTATTCATACTTTTAAAAATAGGTATGATAGGGAAATGGGACAGGAGTCATTGCTGTAAACAACCGATGGCTGGAAAAGCGGGATTCAAGAGTCAATGCTCGATCCCGCAAGCACAAATAGGTGAGTACACGCACACACATACACTCACACAGCGGCAGACACATGCACACACATACGCACACACAGCCACAGACACACGCACACACATACACTCACACAGCGACAGACACACGCACACACACACACTCACACAGCGACAGACACACGCACACACATACGCACACAGCCACAGACACACGTACACAGACACACGTACACACATACACTCACACAGCGACAGACACACGTACACACACATACACTCACACAGCGACAGACACACAGCTTGAGGCTTCAAGAAGACCTGGACAAGCTGCAGGAATGGTCGAACAAATGGCTGTTAGAGTTTAACCCAAGCAAATGTAATGTAATGAAGATAGGGGTAGGAAGCAGGAGACCAGATACAAGGTATCACTTGGGAGATGAAATACTTCAAGAGTCCGAGAGAGAGAAAGACCTGGGGGTTGATATCACGCCAGACCTGTCCCCTGATGCTCATATCAAGAGGATAACAGCAGCAGCATATGCCAGGTTGGCTAACATAAGAACGGCCTTTAGAAACTTGTGTAAGGAATCTTTCAGAACATTATATACCACATATGTCAGACCAATCCTGGAGTATGCGGCACCAGCATGGAGTCCATATCTAGTCAAGCATAAGACTAAAATGGAAAAGGTTCAAAGGTTTGCCACCAGACTAGTACCCGAGCTGAGAGGTATGAGCTACGAGGAGAGACTACGGGAATTAAACCTCACTTCGTTGGAAGACAGAAGAGTTAAGGGGGACATGATCACCACATTCAAGATCCTCAAGGGAATTGACAGGGTTGATAAAGACAGGCTGTTTAACACAAGGGGCACACGCACTAGGGGACAGAGGTGGAAACTGAGTGCCCAAATGAGCCACAGAGATATTAGAAAGAACTTTTTTAGTGTCAGAGTGGTTGACAAATGGAATGCATTCGGAAGTGATGTGGTGGAGGCTGACTCCATACACAGTTTCAAGTGTAGATATGATAGAGCCCAATAGGCTCAGGAACCTGTACACCTGTTGATTGACAGTTGAGAGGCGGGACCAAAGAGCCAGAGCTCAACCCCCGCAAGCACAACTAGGTGAGTACAACTAGGTGAGTACACACACACACACAACCACAGACACACGTACACACGCACTGACATACACTCACACAGCGACAGACACACACACACACATACGCACACACAACCACAGACACACGTACACAGACACACTCACACAACGACAGACACACGCACACACAACCACAGACACACGTACACACGCACTAACATACACTCACACAGCGACAGACACACACACACACACATACGCACACACAACCACAGACACACGTACACACACATACACTCACACAACCACAGACACACGCACACACAACCACAGACACACGTACACACGCACAGACATACACTCACACAGTGACAGACACACGCACACACAACCACAGACACACGTACACACGCACTGACATACACTCACACAGCGACAGACACACACACACACATACACTCACACAGCCACAAACACACGTACACAGACACACTCACACATACACTCACACAGCGACAGACACACTCACACAGCCACAAGCACACGTACACAGACACATGCACACACATACACTCACACAGCGACAGACACACGCACACACACATACGCACACACAGCCACAGTCACACGCACACACAACCACAGACATACGTACACACGCACTGACATACACTCACACAGCGACAGACACACGTACACAGACACATGCACACACATACACTCACACAGCGACAGACACACGCACATACACATACACTCACACAGCCACAAACACACGTACACAGAAAGACTAACAGAGTAAGCTCACCTGCAAGACAGCACATCCCTGGCCCTCCATAGTGATGGAGACCTTGGTGGGAACAGTGGGCAGCTTTACCAACTGCTGCAGCAGTTTGTTGTCGTCGGTGACGGTGAAGGGGTGTGCCAGGCCGCTAGCTGTCACCGTTGCCACCACGTTCAGAGGTCCCTGGTACAAGTGGGTCTCGTACAGTGCCAGCGCCTGGAGGGCCACCACCGTATCCTGCGTATTGGGCACAAAACGTCCTGTTAGCAAAGACTTTTTCAATTATGATTTTCCCCTAACATTCACGATGCTTCCTTTAACTGAAAATATGTTTCATTGTGTACCTATGTATCAGTTTCAGATTCAACACCATAGATTTGGAAAAGTTTCAGTAAACATAATTCCGTTGAACAATTACAAGTAATATATGTACAGGTGCAAGTATTGTGTAATGTCAATCACTTGCTTCGCACAATCCCCTCTTCATGCTGATATTCTCAAAGTACTTGTGTTTCTCATATTACCTAACCCACAGCTCTCACCATCAAACTACCCTAACTCTTACATTTGGTTAGCAATATTAATTTCTTAATTAGCTAAGGTTCCATTCGTTTTTAATATGCAGACAAATTTCACAAATGTAATATCCATCTTGTTCATACAAACATGTTTTGCAGTCAACCTTAAACATTTTCCACCTAAACACTATCAAGACAAGGAGCTAGTGTTGTCCCAGCAACACAACTCACAAAATACGGCCAACTTCTCACTGTTGCCACATCCCCAAGTACCGCTCCATTATGTAAATTTAATTAGTAGAATAGAGGGACCTCTTTAGTATTGTTTACAGTTATTCTAGACATGTGAGGAGATGTGGTGCGCCCGTCACGTCCCGAGTACAGGCAACACACACACCTGAAGCACCACCTGCAACAAGGCTAGTCCTGCCTGTGTGTGACGAGACATCCCAGGTACAGGCAACACCCACACCTGAAGCGAGGACCCAGACAGGAGTCGAAGGGGCTGATATTTTATCTGTATACTCAGCGAGAAATCCAAGTAACAGTGAACACCAACCAGTGGACGGGATAATTATCTAAGTGTAATTCCAGGAGGAGAGTTACACTCGTGGTATCCCGTCTTCCCAGTACTCATTGTCGTATAACACTTTCACACTACTTCGGTATAAACTTTATGCCTACATCATGCCTAGCTATCAGGGCGCCATTATGCCTGTCAGGCACCTGACAGCTGGGTGGACAGCACTTCGGATTCGTAGTCCTGAGGTTCCGGGTTCGATCCCGGTGGAGGTGGAGACAAATGGGCAAAATGTTTCTATCACCCAGATGCCCCTGTTACCTAGCAATAAATAAGTACCTGGGAGTTAGACACCTGCTACGGGTTGTTTCCTGGGGATGTGTAACAAAAAGGAGGCCTGGTTGAGGACCGGGGAGCGGGGACGCTAAGCAACGAAATCATCTCAAGATAACCTGAGAATAGATCATATATTTCACAAAACATGGCAGGCAACACGTGAATAACGAACGAGTTTCCTACTCCACTTAAGAGGAGAGCATGGATAAAGAACTCCAAAAGTCAACTACCGGTGGCAGGTCAGAATGTAAGGGGCCCCTCATGAAACATGGCAACCATCAAGACTATAGTGAAGCACTCGAGTCCCACCGCCAGTAACACCAGACCCCTGATTTCCTTATTTAAGGTTACAAATCCAACTCTAAACACAAATAACGGGAAGAAGACAGAAAAGCAGCACAAAACAGTGGCTTCCACTTATCCTAACACATCCCTAAAACACATGAAGGAAACCGCAGAATAAAGGCAAGGCTCAGACTCCGCCACTACCACCACCGAGGGAGCAACACCAGACAGCCGTCTACTGCGCCTTAACATCTGGAGCTCGCGGGGACTGTGGAACAAGGACTTAATACACTGGGGGTTCTGTGGTATAAGGACTTAATACACTGGGGGTTCTGTGGCACTAGGGATTAATACACTGGGGGGTTCTGTGGTACAAGTGCTTAATACAATGGGAGTTCTGTGGTACAAGGACTTAATACACTGGGGGTTCTGTGATACAAGAACTTAATTAATACACTGGGAGTTCTGTGGTACAAAGTCTTAATATACTGGAGGTTCTGTGGTACAAGGACTTATTATACTGGGCTGCTACATAGAGGACCGCCCAGAAATATGTTTTTCCGCTCCACAGTGCTCAACTTGTGTATATTTCTTTGTCAGTTTCTTTCATATCAGCATTTCTTTTGTTCAAAAGAAATCATACGAGTTCTTCTATTGCTAAAGAACATGAAAGTAAACAAAATTCTGCTAAATTTCCATGCAATAAAATGGTTGGTTGTATAGGCAAGACATGTTGAGTCACTATGATGGTTGTATAGGCAAGACATGTTGGGTAACAATGATGGATGTATAGGCAAGACATGTAGGTAACAATGATGGTTGTATAGGCAAGACATGTTGAGTCACTATGATGGTTGTATAGGCAAGACATGTGGGTAACGACGATGGATGTATAGGCAAGACATGTGGGTAACAATGATGGTTGTATAGGCAAGACATGTGGGTAACAATGATGGTTGTATAGGCAAGACATGTGGGTAACAATGATGGTTGTATAGGCAAGACATGTGGGTAACAATGATGGTTGTATAGGCAAGACATGTGGGTAACGACGATGGTTGTATAGGCAAGACATGTTGGGTAACGACGATGGATGTATAGGCAAGACATGTTGGGTAACGACGATGGTTGTATAGGCAAGACATGTTGGGTAACGACGATGGTTGTATAGGCAAGACATGTTGGGTAACGACGATGGATGTATAGGCAAGGCATGTGGGTAACGAAGGAGAATATTACCTGTGTGGAATAGAATCCTCCTTGGCCATTCCTCTGCGCCGTGATCCACTTGACCACCTTCCTAGCCTGCTGCTCGTATTGTTTAGGGTCAAGGGTCATCATGGCCATGATGGCGTAGCCAGCTGTTTCCACCCCTACAGCCTTCGTCTTGCCTGATTATACAATAAGTAATTGTTGTATGAAACATATCAATCATTTGGACACAGGTAAAATATATCCCTGACCACAAGACACGTAGATAATAATTTTTTTTCGCTTTGCCCATCAGAGCCTCGAACCCAGAACCAACAAAGCAGAAGACTTGTTCTACCAACCAAGCTACGAGCACCCACAATAAGGGAGGAGCTCAGAGAGACAGCTGGTTTCTCAGTCAGATACCAGTTGTGGTGCTTGTAGCCTGGTTGGTAGAACTAAAGTTGTCTGCTTTTGTGGCATTTGGTTCGAGGCTCTGATGGTCTACGTGAATGAAATGTAAAATAAATTAAAATAAATGCTGTAAACAATCATCTTAAAACTAAAATTCTATTTAAAACTTCTTTTTAACCGAACAAAATTTATTACGTGAATATTTTGATTAGGCTGCAAATATCAAGCCACAATACACGGGTTCTTTGATTAGATATATTTATACTGATTTACCTGTGTTTATTTTCAAATATAAATTATTCTAGGAGTTGCATTTAATAAAACAATAATGAATGACATTCACCTCAATATTGTTTTGTATTTTAGCTTTATTTAAGGCCTATCAAGCTCGCCTAAAATTATAACCATAACTACTTGTCAGTACAACCAGCAAGATTATTCAGTCGTAAGCAAAGTTAAAGAGAAAATAAATATAGTGCTTACGCACTTACTAAGGTAACACCTTATACCCTTCTTCCCCCCGACTATACCTGGTCCCTTGGGCAGCTCCCAGTGAGTGGAGTTCTTTGTCACAACAGCTTGTTCCAGCAATTTCTGGAGAATTACTTCGGCTTCAGGAAGCTTAGCCAAGGCGAAAGCATAGGCTTTGAGCGCCATAACGTAGGGGTCAGAGGAGGAGTCTGCTTGTAGACACTGGGCAGCCAAACAGTCGGCCTGGCTGCATGACTTGTCATTCGCCTCAAGGAGAGCAATCATCACATAGGCTGTTAGAGGCACGGGAGAGTCACTTCCATCAATTCCTCCCTGTTAGAAATGTGATAACATATTGTTATAGGATCGCCTGAATGTTGAACTCTACTGCATGTTCTTGCAAATTCAATCATCAGTTCCTAACACATAACTTACTTTCAATTATTTCATTCTGAAAATCTTTGTCTGATCATTGTTTGTTGGTGGTACTTGTTGGTGACCGGAGTCAGGTCTGGGTTGGAAGAAACTTAATTGTTGGTTGTTACGTTGTCCGCGTATATGTGCCCAGTTTTGGGTCTGGTTGGTTGGGATCCTTGCCTGGAGGGCTGCCTTCTCTTCTCTCTTCGTTTGGTGGGAGTGGTGTAAGGTGAAGTGTTGGAGGTTTTTTGGCGTTGTCGCTAAGCAGGAGGCAGCCAGGAGGTTTGGCCTGCTGCGGGTTGCTTCAGGCTCGACTGTCTAGTGTGTATGTGCGGTTGAATGCTGGGGTTGACTGCTTTGGGGAGATTTTTGAGTGTAAGGAGCGTATTTGTAGGTTGCATACAGAGTTGGCTGAAGGTGTTCGGGTGCGTGCTCGTGTGGCTGAGCATGTGGATGGGAGAGGCTCTTCCCCTTTCTTTTAGGGTGTGAGAAGGCTGCGAGGGATTCTGTTCTTCTTACGGGCCTTCGGCCACCTGATGGTTCTGTTTTTTCTTGCATGGAGGCGGTTCTGCTTTACATGCGGCGGGAATTGAAGGCGCTCTATGGGGTGGTGCAAGGGGATGGTGTGCTCGCAGATTTTTTTTTGGATGGGTGTACCCTGGTTTGTCAGAGGCGGAGTGTGCCCGCTTGGTGAGGGATGTTTCGTTGGGGGAACTCCTGGATGAGGTCCGGTCGTTTCGTACGGGAAAGGTACCCAGTGTGGATGGCCTTCCCGTTGAGTTCTATATTACCTTTTGGGATGTGTTGGGAGAGGTCCTTTTGGAGGTGGTGCAGGCTTGTCTGCAGGTGGGTGCCCTGCCTGACTCCTATTATGACGGGATCGTGCGGCTGCTCCCGAAGCCGAGCGATTTGCAGTTTTTTTTCGAATTAGAGGCCTATTACGCTCTTCAATGTTGATTATAAGATTTTGTCTAAGGTTTTAGCTTGTCGCGGTGGCGTTGTCGGGCGGCGGTGCTCTCTGTGGAGCAGTTTTGTGGTGTTCCTGGTTGTGCCCTTGTGAATTGCAATTCTATGATTCGTGACGTGCTTCTGTACTCGTCCGAGTATCGCTTTTCAGCGGCGATGATCAGCTTGGACTGGTCGAAGGCCTTCAATCGGGTGTCGTTGACGTTTGAGCTCCGTGCGATGGAGCGGTTTGGGTTTCCGTCGATGTTTGTGGATTGGGTGCGCATGTTGTATGCCAGGTGTCACAGTCGCGTTTGTGTGAATGGGTTTTTTAGTTCCTTTTTTCGATTTGCCGTTCTGTGCATCAGGGGTGCCCCATGTCTATGCTCTTGTATGTGATTTTTCAGGAACGTCTTTTTCGGGCGGTCAAGGCATGTTCCTTGATTGTGCCTCCTCTTCTGCCTTCGGCCTCTTCGGCAGCCTATTTGCAGGTATGCTGACGATACCGTTTTGTTTGTGGCTTCAGTGGGTTCGGTTGGTGCTGTTCAGGACGTTCTCCTGCGGTTTGAGTCTGCCACGGGGGCAAATCCTGCAAAGTTGTGTTTGATGGGTATCGGTGAATGGGCCTCCCGCCTGGTGTAGGGAGGGTCGGGGTTTCCGGTGGTCTTGTCGCTTTGGGTTTTTGGGGTTACCTGGTTTGCCTCTTATGACCATTCCATGGAGTGGAATTGGGGAGCTGTCTCTCGTTCAGTTGGGGTTGCGGTTGGGTTATTGTCGTGTCGTCAGTTGACGATCTACCAGCGGGCGTTGGTTGTTGCGTGTAAGGTTCTGTTGCGAGTGTGGTGGTTGATGGCTCGGTGCTTTCCTTTGGATCGCCGGAAGGCCTTGGATCTGGAGAGGCTGGTGTACAAGTATGTGTAGTGTGGTCATTATCAGCCGGTATGTCATTCGACGCTGGTGTTAGGGGTGAGGGAGGGAGGTGTTGGTATTCCCGACGTCTTTACTAAGGCCAGGGCCCTCTTCTGGGTCTCGCTGTGTCAGGGGCTGGTTCTAGGCGAGGATGGGGGGGTAAATGCGCTGTTTTTTTCTGCTCCATTCGGTTCAGTTGCTTTGCTTGGTTAATTTGGAGGTTAGTTGGGAGGTAGCTTTGTTTACCCCCCTGTTTATTCTTGGGCTGTGGAGGTTCTTCGGGCGCTCTGCCGTCATCCTTTCTTTGTTTTCCTTTTCGTGTAAGGCTGTATATGGGGTGTTGTTGCCTCGGAGGACTTGTTACCGTGTTGGATTGGGGTGGCATCTGGTCGTGTTTGAGGGGGAGGGTCTTGGCGCCTCAGCAGCGGGAGTTAATGTTGCAGTTTCTGCAGTTGTCGCTGGTGACAAATGAACGGTTTTGTTTGCTTGGCTTGCGTGATTCTGCGGCGTGTGTGCACTGTGGCTTTAGTGAATCGCAGGTGCATGTCTTTTATTTTTGTGACCAGTTGCAGGGGTTGGTTGCCTGGTATCAGGATGTCCTGGAGATGTTTTGTGGACCGGAGTGTTGGAGTGGTGTTTTGCAGTTTTTGTTCTTGCATTTTCTGGGTTGTTCGCAGAGGGTGTGCAAAAGGTTGTGTTTTGTTTGTGGATTATGTGTTTTGTGTGTGGGTTGGGAGGCGGGAGGGTTATGGGGTCACTCGCATTTTTTTTTTTTTTTGTGAGGGTGCATGTGGTTTACCTGGTGGTGGTTGCAACGCGCTTTTCCTGCAGAGTTTGGTCAGTGGTTTACGGATGCCTATGTTAGGGGGTTGCTTTAGAGTGCGTCGGTGCGTCGGTGGTTGGGCGGTGGTGATTGGTCGTGGGAGGGGTTGGGGCGTTGTTATGGGTTTGGGGGGTTGAGGAGGTTTCAGGGGGTTGCTTTAGCTGTGTGTTCCCTTCCCCGTCCCTTTGGGCCTCCTTGGCGGGGGTTGCATGTGGTTGTGTGTGTATTCCTTGTGGTGGTGCTGCTCCTGTGCGTGTGTGGTGTGTTTTGGTGCCTCCGGGCACCGAGTGTGTCGGTGTGCATGGGGAGTGTGGGTTTGGGGGCTGTTTTCGGCTTCTGCGTGGACCTGAGTTTTTCAGTTTTTTAGTTTTTCAGCTTTTTTTTGGTCCTGGTCCGCCTTGGCCTGTGCTCTTTGTATCTGGGTGTTATGTTGGTGTGTGGTGTGCAGTTGTGGTGTGGGTGGTTGTGTGTGTATTTTTCTTGTTGTTTGCATGGGTGTTTCGTGTGCGTGTTCAGGGTTTTCTGTGCTTTTGTCTCTATGTATATATTTTTGTGTCTTGTGTGTTTGTCCTGTGCTCCTTTGTTAATGTGTGTGCGTGGTGTGGTTGGCGTTGTGTGCGTGGTCATCTATCCACGTCTGTTATGTGTCTGTTTTCTATATTCGGTTGAGAGTGTGTTTTATGTTATTTATGTTTTTTATTTTATGTATTTTTCTGTATTCTGTTATATGTTACTACGTATCTGTGTTCTGTTTAGACTTGTTTTTAATGATGCCCGTGTCGGGATATCGGGGTTTTGCCCTGTATTGTGTTATATTTTTTATGTGTCGCTTGTGTATGTTTTTTTTTTGTTTTTAACTGTTCCTGATGCTGTTTACTGTTCCTGTTACTGTCCCTGTTTACTGTTCTTCATTGTTATTTTATATATGTACCGGATTTCTTTTGTGTTTTGTGTGTTTTGGTATTTGTTTTATTTTTAAAAAATAAAAAAAAAATAATGGGCCCACCAATGACCCTCAGAAGAGGGGTTTCATTTTATATAATGCAGTTTTTCTAGGAGGGGCTGAACTGTGGCTCCCTGTAGCTTACCTCTGAAAAGCTAAAAATGGGACTTACCAGGGAAGAGAGCAAAGATCAGCCCACCTTTGGTGGGTAGATCTTTGACATATATGAGGGAAACTCCTTCCAAGGTCAACACAAGCTCAAAGGGACCAAGAAAACCAGGTAATGAAATGATTCGTGGTATATCCAAAGAGCCCTTAAAAAACGAAGCCCACGAAAAATTAGAAAATACTGTCGCCAAAGCCGCAAGGTCCCAAATAACACGTGCCCAAAGACACACTGCGGCTTTCTAAATACAAAACCGTGAAGTGCTGCAATCAGACAACAAAGGATGCACTCCCTGCCAAACAAATCAAGGACCAATACCCAAAGGGCCCATCTAAACGCCAACCGTCTCAATCTGACCAAAAAAAAAAAAAAACAGAGGAAAAAATACGCCATGGACGAAAGAACAAAACGCACACTTCCAGAGGAGAGCGAGAAGCTTCTCAACACCACAACTGGAAGCAATGCCCAACAAAAACAAAGACCTCCAATGAGAAGTCATAGACCAAAGGGACAACCGAGAACAGAGGAGACGACAAAACCCTGATCCAGAGACCAAGATGGTCAAGGAGTAAAATGAGCAGGCCAAAGGTGAACAATTGCACGGGACAATTTGGAAAATGGTGTCAAGATAGTATAGACCCTAAAGGACAGCAAAAGTAGCTCCTCCTAGACCGAATTACAAAGAGGCGACAGTATTCAGCACATAATGTTGACCAACAAACAACTTAGATTAAAAGAGAGAGGACCACCAAAACTGAAGACAAACCATAAAGTGATACAAATGAGTGAAACCTTATACTGCCCCTGCGACAAATGAGGCAGTTATGATTCTTAAGCTTATTTATAGCTCGCCATACAGATGGCGAAAGATCAGAGTAAGAAACTCCACGCATGAAGAGTCCAGAACGTCAAACCAGAGCGAAAAATCTCTGGAGAGATTTGCTGAGAGACATGTGATCGGAAAAAAGGTGCTTCAAATGATTATTGTGTATGTAAACATTCAGTGTGAGGAAAATTTCCGCCAACTACATCATTATTATAATCATAGAAATGAAGTACATCAGAATAATTATTTCTATATCATACATCTGAATCCTACATCAGAATTATATCAAAATCATCTATTAGATCCTACACGACAATACCACAACGGTCACGTCCACCATTAGGCTTATGGATGCCTACGTGACTTTGTTCGTTTATCTTCAAGGATCTATAAGGTTCAATAAGAAGCTGTCTTAATTGAAGTACCATTGCAACATGTTTTGGGCTTCTGGTGATGTATTTTCAAGTTTTAAATAAAGAATCAATCTGTACTACTAGTACTACCTATATTCATTAGATCCAATACATATTCATCTTTCAATCCCGATTGATCTCAATAATCTGTCTAGACATTAACAATTATTTATCCATATTCAATGTTGGCCTCTATCACTTGAGAGAGGGAGGAACTACCTCCGAGAGCAAGCGTCCACGAGCGCCTTGAGGCCCAGAACCCATTGTTTACATACAGAGTGAACACGTGACGATGCTTGAGACTTTTATAATAAGACTAACACCGCACAAACAATATAATAATCACCAGAATAGCTCCCTAAGACACTCAGGGACGTGGTGAACTATAAATCAGAACAAATTACTGATACATTCATCTAAATACGAGTGTAGAGAGCGGTACCCCCCAGCATGTGTTGACTGTTGACCGCTCACCAATACCACGGATAGCTTAATCCTCATAAAAACTCTACAGCGTGTATCTATTCACTGCAGCAATGCGGTTATATCATTAAAATACTGTGGCTAATCTCATCAGAAGAGAGATAATCTGGCAACTGGTCAGTTGAGCATCAGTTCTCAATTTGGATATTTATTAGTTATTATAGTTATTACTAGTTATTAGTATTAACTAGTTATTAGTAATAATTAGTTATAACTAGTTATTTACTAGTTATTACTAGTTATTACAGTTATTATTATAATAGTAATTATAGTTAATAACTGGATAATTATTAGTTACAAACATCAGTTATTAAGTGTTTGTAGAATGTAAATTGGTAAATTGCATGCTCTTATGACCTTAATATGTCCATATAAATTGTTAATCGTTATGTAGAGGGGAAAAATCAAGCAATCAAGTGAGCATCTATCTTAATCTTTACAATTTGTTCTGAATATATGTACAAATATCTATATATATATATATATATATATATATATATATATATATATATATATATATATATATATATATATATATATATATATATATATATATATATATATATATATATATATATATATATATATATATATATATATATATATATATATATATATATATATATATATATATATATATATATATATATATATATATATATATATATATATATATATATATATATATATATATATATATATATATATATATATATATATATATATATATGTATAAATTATCAATTGCTATCACATTTATCATTAATTTATCATAAGTGCTTGCATATTTGCATATAATATCTTGCTTGTATCATATAACTAGTTGTTATAATTACTAGACATGATCTCAGTTATTGGGTATGCAGTTTAAGACCGAGGTTAGACTGACAGAACTATTGATACTAAAAGAGAACCAATATTTAGAGTCACTGAACTGTGTTTTATCATGTAATCCATTGTAAACTACAATGCTGATGTGTTTTAAATGCCAACAGGTACATTGTGTTTCTTCCATCAGTATCCTGGTGTTAATAAGTAAAGCCCACATGGCATCCCAAGACAAGAGGATTGGCAGGACTTTGTATAAGCTAAGGAATTATAAGTTCATCTATTTTGCATTCTTATTTTAAAGTATCATTTAATAAGTTCCAGTCCATTTAATTTCCTCATTTAAGTCCCACATAAATGAGACTTTAGCCTTCAACGTGTGACATATCACACATGTGTGACATGTGTGGCATGAAAGAGTAATGCCACAACAGATCACATTATTCCAGCATTATGTATATGGAACTTGTTGAAGTCTCCTTCATAATATTGGTGTATATTTATTCAACGTCCTTTTTTATATTTTTAACATTAAATCAATAAACAAAGAAATTACAATAGCGTTATATTACAAAAAGGAAATAATTTATAACAATGCAGGATGTGACCTGGCGTTCTAGAGCGTTTGGGACTCACCAGAATGATGGTTCAAATTCTCACATTTCTCCAAATGATTCTCTTTCAATCGGTGTTATGCATGAGAAAAATACTCACTTTCATGGCCTTGCTGAAGACTTTACCAGTGTTGTTGAAGCAACCGTCCTTTCTCTGATTAGACTGAAGCCAAGTGCTTGTTTGGTTCAAATCATTCTTGTCAATCTGCAATTACCAACAACAATCAGATTTAGGAAGTAGTATACAGTATACACCAAATAAGACAGGAGTAAGAAAGTTATTGCTATTTGCTTCAACGACAATTAGCAGCGTTTGGGCGTTTAATTGATAGTATTACCACAGCTCATGGCAGCTCAGTAATTACATCTCAGGAAAAAATACCAAACCCAAACATTTGAAAATGAAAAATCCCTGATGTATGGGTCGGTCCTGGACCATTATGTGTGATGGTCCACGATGGATCGAAACGTCGTCGTGTTTTAATTTTTACATATGTGGGCTGGGTGTCAGGTGTGTGGGCTGAGTGTCAGGTGTGTGGGCTGGGTATCAGGGGGTGTGGACTGGGTATCAGGTGTGTGGGCTGGGTATCAGGGGTGTGGACTGGGTATCAGGTGTGTGGGCTGGGTATCAGGGGGTGTGGACTGGGTATCAGGTGTGTGGGCTGGGTATCAGGGGGTGTGGACTGGGTATCAGGTGTGTGGGCTGGGTATCAGGTGTGTGGGCTGGGTATCAGGTGTGTGGGCTGAGTATCAGGTGTGTGGGCTGGGTGTCAGGTGTGTGGGCTGGGTGTCAGGTGTGTGGGCTGGGTATCAGGGGTGTGGGCTGGGTATCAGGGGTGTGGGCTGGGTATCAGGTGTGTGGGCTGGGTATCAGGTGTGTGGGCTGGGTGTCAAGTGTGTGGGCTGGGTATCAGGTGTGTGGGCTGGGTATCAGGTGTGTGGGCTGGGTATCAGGTTTGTGGGCTGGGTATCAGGTGTGCGAGCTGGGTATCAGGTGTGTGGGCTCGGTATCAGGTTTGTGGGCTGGGTATCAGGTGTGCGAGCTGGGTATCAGGTGTGTGGGCTGGGAATCAGGTGTGTGGGCTGGGTATCGGGTGTGTGGGCTGGTTTATCAGGTGTGCGAGCTGGGTATCAGGTGTGTGGGCTGGGTATCAGGTTTGTGGGCTGGGTATCAGGTGTGTGGGCTGGGTATCAGGTGTGTGGGCTGGGTATCAGGTGTGTGGGCTGGGTATCAGGTTTGTGGGCTGGGTGTCAGGTGTGTGGGCTGGGTATCAGGTGTGTGGACTGGGTATCAGGTGTGTAGGCTGGGTATCAGGTGTGTGGGCTTGGTATCAGGTGTGTGAGCTGGGTATCAGGTGTGTGGGCTGGGTATCAGGTGTGTGGGCTGGGTATCAGGTGTGTGGGTTGGTATCAGGTGTGTGGGCTGGGTATCAGGTGTGTGGGCTGGGTATCAGGTGTGTGGGCTGGGTATCAGGTGTGTGGGCTGGGTATCAGGTGTGTGGGCTGGGTATGAGGTGTGTGAGCTGGGTATCAGGTGTGTGGACTCGGTATCAGGTGTGTGGGCTGAGTATCAGGTGTGTGGGCTGGGTATCAGGTGTGTGGGCTGGGTATCAGGTGTGTGGGCTGGGTATCAGGTGTGTGGGCTGGGTATTAGGTGTGTGGGCTGGGTATCAGGTGTGTGGGCTGGGTATCAGGTGTGTGGGCTGGGTATCAGGTGTGTGGGCTGGGTATCAGGTGTGTGGGCTGGGTATCAGGTGTGTGGGCTGGGTATCAGGTAAGTGGACTCGGTATCAGGTGTGTGGGCTGGGTATCAGGTGTGTGGGCTGGGTATCAGGTGTGTGGGCTGGGTATCGACCTAAACATCTGGCAATCCGGAAATCCATTCAGTAGATAAAATGTTTATTATTGTTACCAACACAGGTCTCTAGTGACCTACTGCCAACATTTCAAAAGATCAGTCTTGCCTCAGAACCTTCTCAGCCGTCATGAGCAATACGATCAGTCTACCTGTCCCAGTGGCCGCATTTGTGATGAGGATATTGCTAGATTATTGTACTGATTGCTCAGCCAATAGTGATGAATTGGTCTCATCGCTTTAGGGTGTGGAAATACAATCCGATATTAACAATTGTGTAGTACTTATAGAAGCAGTGTCCGAACGTACAAAACTTCACCACTGCACCCAAAACAGTCAAACTCCTGGGGCTCCGTCTGTTGGGCTCCGTCTGTTGGACTCCGTCTGTTGGACTCCGTCTGTTGGGCTCCGTCAGTTGGGCTCCGTCTGTTGGGCTCCGTCTGTTGGACTCCGTCTGTTGGGCTCCGTCAGTTGGGCTCCGTCTGTTGGGCTCCGTCTGTTGGGCTCCGTCTGTTGGACTCCGTCTGTTGGACTCCGTCTGTTGGGCTCCGTCTGTTGGGCTCCGTCTGTTGGACTCCGTCTGTTGGACTCCATCTGTTGGGATGCGTCTGTTGGGATCCGTCTGTTGGGCTTCGTCAGTTGGGATCCATCAGTTGGGCTCCGTCTGTTGGGATCCGTCTGTTAGACTCCGTCTGTTGGGCTCCGTCTGTTGGGATCCGTCTGTTGGACTCCGTCTGTTGGGCTCCGTCTGTTGGGATGCGTCTGTTAATAGTAGGGATGGCAGTCCACAGGTCATTTTTTTTGGGGGGGGGGGGAAATTACCTGTGCGGGCCAGGGTTTTCAGGAAAATTTAGAAAATTACCTGTGCGGGCCAGGGTTTTCAGGTCCAAAATCACCTGTGCGGGCCAGGGTTTTCAGGTCCAAAATCACCTGTGCGGGCCAAGGTTTTGAGGTTCAATATCCCGCGTAAGAGTGAGGGTTTTCAGGTAAATTTTGTGTCACAGATTTTAGAAGTTGTTAAAGTTCTTATGATGAAAATAATTTCCGAGACTTAGAAGTTTGTTAAAGGCCTTACGGGAGAAATTCAAATATCGTGTGTAGCGTTTTAGGGTTTTCAGGAGAACTCTACGGACATATTTTACCTGTTTTCAACTTACAAAATTCGTCTGTGTGAGCCATGGTTTTCAGGTAAATTTAGAAAATCACCTGTGCGGGCCAGGGTTTTCAGGTCCCAAATGTTCTGTGCGGGCCAGGGTTTTCCCTTCCCCTGCCTCTCCCGCTTGTACCTCACACCTCCTCCCTCCCCCCCTTACCTCACAATCTCTCGCGTCACCTTTATTTACCTTAGGCCAGCCAGCCAGACGCTTCGTGTAGGTCGCCTCTTATCTTATCTTATCTTATCTTCTCCATAATATCTGGACCGTCCCTCCACCCTCTCTCTCTCCTCTTCATATTATTCTCTCTTCCTATTTTTCTGACATCGTAATGTTTTGTTCCTTTTTTCATTAACCAGTTAGTTTTATACAAATCAACCGAAGCATCTCAATGTAACCTTTATTACTGAAACTGTCTCCGAGACTATCTAAGCTGGCCCCAGCTACCTGCTCCAGGCTATCTGCCCGAGGCAATCATCACCTGATTACCTGCCCTGTCATCTACCAGTCATTGTCAGTGTTCGCCACCGTAATAATTTATATATATACATTAGGCGTTAATAAAACATATTTATTTATTTATAATTTATTTAGTCATCTAATTCTTAGTTTACACAATTTATAATAAAAGAGTTTATTCCCAGTATTCGCCAATCATTCTCGCTATTAATAAAACAGCCAAACGCTCACTCTGGGGCACACTATCGTTATTACGCTCATTCAGGGGCCCCCTCAGATCGCCTAAGGCCAAAGTCTCAGAGGCCTGTGAAAATTCATCAGAGTCCAGTTCTTGATCGAAATTCATCAGAGTCCAGTTTTCTAGCAAAATTCGTCAGAGTCATGTTCTTTGTCATGTTTTTCATGTACATCATATGTTCTCTGTATAACTTTTATACTCAATATTCATGTTCTCAATGTTCTTAGCATGTTCTTCACATGTTCAGTGTTCATTCTTTGTATTCCCTGCATGATCACTCTATTCATCAACTTTTTCTTACATGTTTTCTATGTTCACCGTATGTTCACTATGTTCTTTGTCATGTTTTTCATGTACATCATATGTTCTCTGTATAACTTTTATACTCAATATTCATGTTCTCAATGTTCTTAGCTTGTTCTTCACATGTTCAGTGATCATTCTTTGTATTCCCTATGTTCCTTATCATGTCTTCATATTCTCTATAAGTTCATATTCCCTGCATGTTCACTCTATTCATAAACTTTTTCTTACATGTTTTTTATGTTCACCGTATGTTCACTGTGTTCATTCCCCTACTTAACCTCAATTTTTTTTTATGTTCTTTGTTTCTTTAAACCAATTTGTTTCTTCCATTCACTAACTAGTTCTTTGTCAAATAATATTATACTGCAATACAGTTCCCTCAACATTTTTAGTCACCCAGTTTTTATTTGCAAACTATGTCAAAGTAATTCTCGTAGTAAACTTAATAGTTCCACCAACCCCGTTCTTAAACAAATCTACACTTTATTCAGTTCCAAATTTACAAAGACAAACCTTTCTTGTAACTTCTTAACTAAAAATCTTTCACCAATCAACTAAAACATAGTCACTTTCCTCTTTTCTCAACTAAACTTATTATCCATTCAACCAAAAAATAGTCAAAGGAATCTTTCCTACACTGTTCATAACTTCACTTATTCCCTAGTCATCAGAAAATAACCGTGTTCTTCATGTTTCATTGTCATGTCATAACTAAAATTATCCATCAATCAACAGAAAAAGTCATATTCATCATCATTGTTCCTAACTAAAATTATGTTTTGTCAAGTAAGAAAAAATAGTCAAAGATATCTTTCATCGCTGTTCTTAACTGACATTATACTTCTGGGAGCACAAAATAGTCTCCCTCGTCATGTTTTGTCTTTTTCCTTAACTAAAAGTATTCATCAGTCAACTAAAAAATAGTTACTTCATCATGTTTCCTTGTCATTTCGGAACTAAAATTATATGTCGCTAAGAAAGAAAAATAGTCAAATGTAACTTTTTCAGCATTTTCGTAAAAATTATATGTCGTTAAGTAAGAAAAATAGTCAAAGGTGCTCTCCGTAACACCAAAGTTACTCTTCGAGACATCAAAGTTACTCTTCAATACATCAAGGACTTACTCAAAGACACCAAAGTTGCACTCAAAAACATCCTTTGAGACATCAAAGACATCCTTTAAGACATCAAAG